GAGAGACAGAGAGACAGAGAGACAGAGAATATCGACCATGGAGCCTATGCAGGGCTCGATCCCACAACCCTGGGATCAAGACCTGAGCTGAAATCAAGAGTCGGATGCTCAGCCGACTAAGCCACCCAGGTGCCCCAATTCCTTCTTAACTGCTGTAAAATAGTCTGATTCCACTCTTCTATCCATGAATATTTAAGCTGTTTCTTAACTATTACAAACAATGCTTCAACGAACAAGATTAGAGTATACTATGAAACTCCAAGAAAGGACCCAGATTACAGACTTCTCCCAAATGTATTTGGCGTCAGAACTCCTTTTTGCAAGAAATCATCTCAGGATTAAAGCTTAGTGGCACACACTAAGAAATTACTTAATGCAACATTTACCCAAAGTCTCCTATGAAGTAATTCCTCTGTAATTCTAGAATGACAGAACAAAACTTTGAAACCTGAAAAGTTAACTAACACCAAGTTTTCAACATACACCAGAGCAACCACTTTAAACATACTACTACTCCCCTTCCAGGATTGGTGTTTCATTCAACTTTGAATTTATATTTTCAATGCCTATCATGGTTCAATTCTGTAACCATCCCCCAAATGAATCTTGGTCCTTAAAACAGATCTAGGAAAAAGGAAAAAATAAGTAAGCAAAGCACTTCAATAATATAGTCTCTATTGCTACAAAACTATCTTTGGTCAAAACACAGTCCTAAAAGTCACAGCAACATACAATTACGAAAACTAAAGGATCATGACACCCCCTGGCACACTTAACAGTAAATGAAGAGACTGCTTCGGAAAAGAACTAGGAGTCAGAAATATATTAATAACAGAATTCAGACTATACAGCCATTAAGCAGAGAAAACTTAACATCCAACAAGCTGGCTGAAGCTTCACTTCTACACAGTATGGGAGAGCATTTTTATACACTGTAAAGAACTACGCAAATATATTTATTATTTATATCACAGACCTCGCATGAAGGCCCATTCTTTGTTAAGTCTTCATTTTGCTGACCTGGAACAGCATCATAATCTCCCATCTTGGAAAATTTACACACAATCTTTGATGGTGTAACTATCTCCACATATTCCTTACACCTAAAAATGGACACACCATAGTTTCTCCTTAGAACATAATCATCTCGAGTATTAATCCAAAATAACCTCTAGATAATGTCTATGTATTTTTTTCTTACTTGCAATTTCCTCTAACCAATTATTTCTGAAGAATGTAAGATAATTACATGGATCACTGTGCCATTAAGTTCAATATCTTGCCACTGAACTATTCAACATTTTTTGAATAGATTTTAAAATCTAGTTGTAAAGTGGTCAGGGGCAAACAACCCTAACATGGATCTATCTCAAAAGCATAATGCTTTCAGACGGTTAATGGTACAAAGGTATGATTTTTTTTTTTTTTAATTTGAGAGCATCCAAGCACGCGTGTGCAAAGCAGGACAGGGGCAAAGAGAGAAGGAGAGAGAGAGAATCCCAAGCAGGCTCTGCACCTTCAGTGCAAAGCCCAACAGGGGTTCAATGTCATAAACCAGGAGATCATGACCTGAGCTGAAATCAAGAGACACTTAACTGAGTGAGCCACTCAGGCATCCCACAAGGGTATGATCTTTTAAAAGGTAGTATCCTTTTTTTTTTTTTTTTTTAATAACTTCAGAGTAATCTGGGTGGTGATAAGGTAGGATGCCACAGAATTTGCTACATAAACCAATCTACCCTTCATCTGTACTCTAGAAATCAGATTTAGAAAGTAATCACATCTGTGCCAAACCTTCATTTCAAACAAATCCCAGTCTTTTCCATCTGTTCTTTAAAAAAAATTTTTTTTTAATGTTTATTTATCATTGAGAGACAGAGCATGAGCATGGGAGGGGCAGAGAGAGGGGGAGACACAGAATCCGAAGCAGGCTCCAGGCTCCAAGCTGTCAGCACAGAGCCCGACACAGGGCTCGAACTCACAAACCGTGTGATTACGACCTGAGCCGGAAGTGGAAGTCGGAGGCTTAACCCGACTGAGGCCCTCTGTCCATTCTTATGTAAAAACCACTATGTTCCTTTAACTATTTTAATCACCTATCATTGACTTTGGCCTAGTTACATTATGTTTTTCTACTTACACATAGTAATAACCCTGCTAATGTTTTCTATTAAAGGTGAACAGATTTTCCATTTTGCTTCACATATATTCTCGGGTGATAGCCAGAAGGGTAACAGTGAGGGCAGTGGGAGACAAGAGAGGTAGAAGATAATCTAAAATATCTACATGATCACCTTCCAAGATATCGTTAACTGGTAGCAAAGAGGTTACCATTTTCGGAATGTACTCTGGGTGTATGTTTTTTTCCCCCAAAGTTTGTATTTATTTTGAGAGAGAGAGAGCGCGCACACGCACGGAGAAGGGCACAGAGGAGAGGAAGAGAGAGAGAATCCCAAGAAGGCTCTGCACTGTCAGTGCCGAGCTGGATGCGGGCCTGAACTCATAAACTGCGAGATCATGACCTGAGCTGAAATCAAGAGTCGGACACTTAACCGACTGAGCCACCCAGATGCCCCTCTGGGTATATATATATTTTAAACAACTTCTATTGAAGCTTTTCTGTCATGTTCTATTCACCCCCTTTGCAAGTATGACCCTAATGTTCCAATCTCAGAAGAAATTCAGTCTTCTATTTAAGGAATTCTGGTTTTCCTTTTTCCAGATTATTTCTAAGAATACTGAATAAGACTATTCCAGTCTCAAGCCCATATAAACTCTATTCTTAACATTCTAAATATCAGAGTTTCCTACATTGTTTCTCAACCCATAAGAATTTAGCTGTTTACATGAGCAAAGAAAGAGACCCCTGTTAGTAAATTATTTCCACTGGGTCCTCCCTTCACATGTATGTACCTCCTTGAACTCTGGCAAACTGGTGAGGCATGAATAACTTCTTAGAGATCTCTTGGTACATTTCTCTCCAAGTGTGATCTTCCATTATGCTCTACTTTTTATAACTGTGGCCCTGTGTGGGTTCCTAAATCTGAGTCTCAATTTCCTCACTTGACAAAAAGGAAGTAACTGTTAACCACACCGGGTTGATATAAGGAGTAAATCAGCACTTAGTACAATGCCTGGCACGTAACATTCAATAAATGTTGATTATTGTTTTATTCCCAAATCAGGGAGTCTACAAAGAAATTTTACAAACCTAATCTTATTTGGTACAGAAACAACCCCAGGAGAGATGCTTTAATTATCCTCACTCAAACTGGGGGTGGGGATGGGAATCAAGTTCCAGAGAGGTTAGCCAATTTGCCCCAAATCCTAACTCTAGCTAAGGGGCAAAGGTAGATTCTAAACTTAGGTTGTTGGATTCCCATATTCTTTCCATCCAATCACACTGCTTCCCCCAAACCATCTTGCCTTTCATCCATTACTGATTATAGAACTATTGTTTGTCACAAATGAAAGAGAAAGTCAGTAATATCCAGGGTCATAGCTGCTGTTCTTAACGTGTAGGAGTTATGGTAGTAATGTAAGAATCCTGTAATAGAATGGTTATATTCTTCCATGAAATAGCATTGTTAGTACTTCACTACTTATAAAGGCCATTAAGTACTCACTGAAAAAATTTCAGCCAATATAGAAAGACAGCAATACTTTAAAAATCAACAAAGCTGTGAACTCTTTGCACATGTTAACTCTGGGCATCTCCCCACTATATTCTTGGAATAAACTCCTGGAAGTAAAACAGATATGGAAAAAGGTAAATAATTATTAAGTTTTGAAAGGTACTGCCAGACTGTCCTCTATAAATATACCAGTTTAAACTCTTTCCAGCAGCATGGAGCATCCATTCTCTAGAACCCTTG